GCGTTTTCCAATGGCTTCACAAAATTGCCTCCTCAAACCTTTTTAAAAGAATCTGGTCGCCACCATTAAAAACCTCTATACAACCGCCCGACGACAATTTGCAGTAGTAGTATTTGTTGTTGTTGTTCTTGTTGCTTTTGCTTGTTGTTGTTGTTGTTGTTGTTGCTTTTGCTTGTTGTTGCTTTTGCTTGTTGTTGTTGTTGTTGTTGTTGTTGTTGTTGTTGTTGTTGTTGTTGTTGTTGTTGTTGTTGACTTTCATTTTCACAGGGTAATCGAATTGACGTAAAAGTTAGGCGATGGTACCTTATTGGATGTAGCGATCGGGAACCTGAGACAGAAAAAGGTGAGTAGAAGCCATATCTTTCAACCCGGTAAGTAAGCAACTAACCTTTGGTAGATTTCTGAATGGAGCACACGTGAAGTACGCGGTGGAGTAGAAACGAAGATGGGCGAAGGAGGATGTGCGTGCTGCTGATGCGATGCGGCAACTTGAGAACCAGGAGCGCCCATGTGCACGGGAGGTTGCTGTTGATTCGGTAACATGGGTGCAACTTGACCAGGGGCAACGGCTCCCACAGATCCTTGCAAAGTAGGCTGTTGACCAGTATGAACTGAAAAAAAAAATTTATTTTTAGAGAGATGTTCTCGAAAATGCTAATGTAGATGAGGTTGCCTCGTTGTGAAATTGTTCAGCGAGTAACCGTTTCAAGGGAAGTTATTATGGTCCTGTTTTCCTGATGCCTCCCAAGACCTCAGTGTGGTTGGGGGAGGGTGTCTAGGGTTGCGGCTGGTCACCCTGCCCTTGCACCTCACGAAATGTCTCAAATAGCCTCTGCTGAGGAAGCCCTACTCACTACCTTCTCGCGGCGGTGTTTTCCCACCAAAGTGAGAGGACGAAAAACCGATATTCGGGGCTATAACCGGGTTGGTGGACCACTGGCAGTTCACCTAGGGGAGTTGCCCCAAAACCCTGATTCCAAACCAACCAAGAGGAGACGTACGAACCACACCCACACCTTTTCGGTTGTGGCAGTGGTCACCGGCTCGATTGGGCATTGAGGTGTATTGGGCACCTCGGACGTCTGATCCCGTCCGAAGAGCGTATGAT